TCCTCAGCCTTACACCTACCTACCCAACATGAGGTTCTCATCTAAGATCCCAAACCTTCAACACCTACTGTACGCACCACGAGTTCCTACAACGCAACGTGTACCAAGCAGGACAGCGTGCACGAGTCGCTTTGGCGCGCGCTGCCTACATGGAGGCGTTGGGGTCAGAAGTCCTGTGGCCCTAAGCCCGACAGCATGAAGAGCCCTGAAATGCCTTCCCCAGCGAGCACAATACCACTAAACCCTAAACCCTAAACCCTAAACCCCAAACCCTAAACCCCAAACCCTAAACCCTAAACCCTAAACCCTAAACCCTAAACCAACCCTAAAAGAGTTGCATGTATACCTTGAAGCCATATAGTCATGACTTAAGGTATGTCCCTCAAGGACGGGTTTCGGGCTCTCTGGGTACGCACTACAACTCCGGGCGTGACGGACTTCTGGTCGTAAGCTACATATACAGCTGTCCATGAAACAGGCGCGGTTGACACTTTAAGCAGTAGGATGCCCAGGTGAACTCTTGTCTCGGAGGGGTTAGGTTCCTTTGTATCTTACTCCGCTTCGGAGCCCAGAAAATTCACCAGATGCGGATGAAGATGCATTTCCCCATTGTTGCGTAGGATAGGGCATCTATCTGGCACGCCCAGAAAAACATTTCAAGCAGCAAGAAGAGCAACGCGTGGCAGACAATGAACACTCCTTTTACTGTTTTCTGTCAAGGGCTCTTGTTAGCATGTTCTTGGCTGGAAGTCCCCAGCCTACCACGGCACCTCACCTACCCCCTAGCGCGTTACAACGTGGTTCAGGCTCTCAGCCACTGCGTAGACTCGTTTGTCGCCCTTTTGTCCGCTGCTCCAACCCATGTTAGTGGACATTCAGTTGTTGCGGGCATCCTTGCAGAAGAAGCCGTTCTGCATCAAGGAGCAGTCGCTGCTTCAGGTGATTCAGCAAGCTGAGGCCATCCAGCTTGAGCAGCAGAACCTTCTGTCAACAGTGCAGAGCCTCTGCTCCTTCAAGCTGACAGTGGGTTTTTTGGCATAGAAACGACGCTGGATGCCACACCCTTCGACACCATCTCGACCATTCTTGCGCGGCTTCCATTAGACACCATATATAGCCCCGGGAGACTCGCCATCATGAGGGACGGCCAAGAGCTACCTATGGAGGCCACGCTTGCATCACTTGGGATCTCAGAAAGCTCCAAGTTGATGCTCTCGGGCCTCTCGGGATCTCGGCATCAGTTGTTTGTGATGTGATGCAAGAGGCTTAGCTTCTGTTACGATCCGAACTCTTCACCACCAGTCACTATCGACGACGTGAAAGCAGCCATTCAGCGCATCGAAGGCACTCCTCTCGACCAGCAAAGGCTCATTTTTGCCGGGAAGCAATTAGCAGACGGAAGGACCTTGTTAGATTATAACATCCAAACGGAGTCCACCTTACACCTCGCCCTGCGCCTGCGTGGGGGCATGTACGATGTGATCTCCGGCCGGCAGGGCTTCGAAGTGCTTTCGGACAAAGTCGTCTTCAAAGACGGAAGTGTATGGAAGTTTGATGGGAGTTCAGGGAGCCTCCAGAAGTACTGCGATCGCGAGCACCAGACATTGTCGTTCTCGTCCAAAGAGGAGCCAGAGTAGGCCCTAAATTCCCTGTTGCTTTTGGCTTCAGGTTCCCTTACAAGCCCTTTGCAACCCACAAGGGCACCCTTTGTTCCCTGTTCATGTCTAGATTACCCCAAAACCCTAAACCCTTAACCCGAAACCCTAAACCCTAAACCCTAAACCCTAAACCCTAAACCCTTGGGTCTAGAAGAGGAGCTGGTCAGCCACTTGGAGGCGACCCGCATCGACTTCCTGCTTGAGCGCTTAGAGGAGGTCCAGAGCAAGAGCCAGGACATCGAAAAGGAAACGACGGATTGGATGGCCAAGGTAAGCTTTCTTGACGCAAACATCCCTGAATCGGGTTTTGGAGAGCTGTGAATGTGCAAGGGTTGTGTTGAGGCGAGCATGGTAACATGATGTCATATTGGGCAGCCCTAAACCCCAAAGAATTCCTTGCCCAGTCCTTTCGGAGGGGCGCTGCGAAGTGTTGTCTAGGCTAGGGTTTAGGGAGGGTATTTAAGGAAGAGGAGATGGAGAGAGAGGGCTTTATGACCAAGCCTCTAGTGAATTCTCCAGCATTGACAGCAAACTGAGAATGAACGCGAGAGTAGCGCAGAGTAGCACATGAGAGGTGCTATGTAGACTCAACTTACTACCCACCTGCGAGGTTTAGGGTTTAGGGTTTGGGGTTTAGGGTTTAGGCCTGTTGGGGGGTTGTTGTACATTGTGGCCCCTTTTTGGGGGGCTAATCCTACCATTTTGGTTTATGAGTCGGCTCTTCCAGAAAAGGCCACAATGTCAAAACAACCCCCCGGGTGCACCCAGAAGCGGCTGTACCTTGTCTGGCTGGCTCTTAGTAGGGAATGAGGGAATGAGGTACCCTATATAGTCCCTTAAAGGGTACATATACATATATATATATATGGTTGTAAGGCCTAATTCTCTCATTCCCTACTAAGAACCGCGCGGGGAGCGACTTTGAAGGATGAGCTTGTTTTGCACTTGCGGGCGGCTCTGTGACCCTTGCGCCTTGTGTAGACCGGGTTTAGGGTTTAGGGTTTAGGGTTTAGGGTTTAGGGTTTAGGGTTTAGAGTCCCAGCTGATGCCCAGAGCCTGGGTTCAAAAGGGTTTAGGGGTTTAGGGTTTTAGGGTTCAGGGTTTTAGGGTTTAGGGTTTTAGGGTTTTAGGGTTTTAGGGTTTTAGGGCTTTAGGGCTTTTAGGGCTTTAGGGTTTTTGGCCACCTCAGGGTTTGGAGCTTCGGGCGTGCGTATATATGTCCCCCCAGAGACTCCAAAAACCCCTTAGTTAAGGAAGATGCCTTAAATCATATTCGGGTTGCGATTACACAGTTTAAGGGCGATTCCTTAATTGAGGGTTTTGGAGTCTCTTGGCCCTCCCCACAGGCACGTTTCTTCACGAGCTCTTATGATCCTCCAGTTTCCCACATAGGTGCCAAAGCGCATGTGTGTAAAGAAGATTTGGATTCGCTGCGCTGGGGCCCACCCATCAGAAATTAACAGATTATCCAGGGTTTAGGGTTTAGGGTTTATAGGGTTTATAGGGTTTATAGGGTTTATAGGGTTTATAGGGTTTATAGGGTTTAGGGTTTAGGCTCTGATGCAGAATCCTTTTTGAAATCTTGGCTTTCTTCTGGCTGGCTCTTAGGACTTTAACATTTTGGGTGTTGGTAGAAACTACAATAAGGAGCCTAAAAGTTAAACTTTTAGGAGGGGTTCAGAAGTCAGCCAAGCAGCAGTGTACTGTTTCATGGGCGTCGATTCGGAACTCCAATCGTAGAGTTTCCGATACTCAGGACTCCTACAACGGATCCCAAATTTTGACAATCGCCTGCATCGATCCTCTGGGAATCTCCAGCCGAAGGACATGCTAAGCACACGCAACAGACAAGAGGGTGACACAGAACAGGCAAGACCAGAACGAAGCAGAACATCGGACGCCGAATCCCCTCTCGGAAGTTGAATTCGCAAAATGAACTTCGGGATTGTGACTATATTGTTACTCTGAATATCATAGTACTACTCTGATATACTACTGCGACGCGAACTTCTGATCTTACTCTTAAGGATCTCACAGGCAGGCAGGGTACTGCCTAAACCCTAAACCCTAAACCCTAAACCCTAAACCCTAAACTATAAACCCTAAACCCTAAAAACCCTAAACCCTAAATGGAGGGAGGAACCGGAGCACGCTTGGCAGTTTCAGGGTCCAGGGCCTAAAGTTCAGGGCTCCTTGACGTGCATTGATTATAGGGTTTAGGGTTTAGGGTTTAGGATTTAGGGTTTGTCCTTGGTGTGGGGAGCACCTGGCGTGGCGTGGTTTCGGTGACCTTTAGAAAACATTCGAAACCCTAAGCCCTAAAGCCTAAACCAACGTGCGTCTTGCCCTGCAGCGCGTTCCCCTGAGTCAGCTGGGCGGGTGGCCAAAAAAAAAACCTAAACCCTAAACCCTAAACCCTAAACCCTAAACCCTAAACCCTAAACCCTAAACCCTAAACCCTAAACCCTAAACCCTAAACCCTAAACCCTAAACCCTAGCCATCCACGGCAGAGGCCGCGCAGCTTGTGCTCATCGATGACCCCTTCGCCTCAGTGGATGGTCCGACAGGCCCTTTGGGCTTAATTGAGAATTCCCTCTGAACCCTAAACGCTAAACCCTAAACCCTAAATCCTAAACCCTAAACCCTAAACCCTAAACCCTAAACCCTAAACCCTAAACCCTAAACCCTAAACCCTAAACCCTAACTCTTGGTTTCCCAGCATGGCCCCGTCTATCCCTATAAGGGCCCATGTACCCAAGAAGTAGGTATGTTGGCCCAAACCCTAAACCCTATACCCTAAACCCGAAAGTCTCTTGGAGCCTCTTCTAAGCCCACGTATATACTGTATGGGTAAGTGGAAATTTTGTGTATCCCTTCCGCATCCTTGCTATTGTCCTTGCCGAGGGTGCTTGGGAGGATCGAGGCACGTGCTTTCGGGGCGGGTTCATGAATGAAAGCGCAGGACTGTAGCCGGTGTAGCCAGGCTTTGGGGTCTCAATACGCTTGGAGCCATGATGTCCTGTGCTAGACTGGTTCCCCATTTTAAAGAAAGTCCTTTATGGGGATTTTATAACAGGGTGGGTTACGATAATCCCTACTAATGTTGGACCTGCTTTAATAATGTAACCCCCCCCCCCCCCCCCCAACAGTCGCGAGCCTGAATAAAAAAAGACCCCAAACAGTCGGGGGGGGGGGGGTCCGGAGCCTCCCTAAGCTACCCCGCGACCCTGGAAAGGTCGAGGCTTCAGGCTTCAAGTATCCCTTCTTCTCGAGAAAGCTTATGCCTTCCTGAAAACCGAAGGACTGAGCCCCGGGCCCCGGGAGACTTGCATTATAGCGGGCCCCCAAACAAAGGTATTAAAGTGTGTCCGGAGGCCTCCGTAAGGTACCCCCTTTCCGGATATGATTCGCCTATGGAATCATCTAGTTTTAAGTAAGGAATTTATAAAGAAAAGGCGCCCTGAAAAAGAATTGTCGGAGATCCTGGACAGGTCGAAGAGGGCTTCAAGTATCCCTCCTTCTCGAGAAAGCTTATGCCTTCCTGAAAACCGAAGGACTGAGCCCCTGGCCCCGGGAGACTTGCATTATAGCGGGCCCCCAAACAAAGGTATTAAAGTGTGTCCGGAGGCCTCCGTAAGGTACCCCCTTTCCGGATATGATTCGCCTATGGAATCATCTAGTTTTAAGTAAGGAATTTATAAAGAAAAGGCGCCCTGAAAAAAGAAGATTGTCGGAGATCCTGGACAGGTCGAGGCTTCAGGCTTCAAGTATCTCTCTTTCTCGAGAAGCTTATGCCTTCCTGACACCCTCAAAAAGACAGGCCCGGCCCGAAATCTTTTCATTATAGCGGACCCCCAAAACAAAGGGTCCAGATCCTGAATAGCCGGAAAACTTTTCATAATAGCGTCCCCCTAGAATATTGCGGGTGCAACATTAAGGACTGTTAGCTTCAAAGGGAACATCCCAAGTCTGCAATCTGATTCGTCCCGTTGCCGGTTTGAGTTCATCTCGGAGCTTCATCGTTCTTGAGCAGTGTCGGCGACCGATGCATTTAGAGGTGACAGATGCATTTAGACGTGACACCACTAGAGATTAAGTTCTTAGGTGGCCCTAGTAACCTTACCAATATTATGTTGTTTTCCAGTACTTTTAGTTTCTTAAACTTTTGCACTGAGGTCAGCACATCTTCACTGAGTGGACTTGGCTGCAGGATATGTTTTGCTGCTTGTGACTTTCTGGGTTCAGGGCTTAGGGTTTTTCTTACAATAGGAAATTTAAACTTCTTCGCCGGCTGCCTTGGCCAGGGGCAGCCAACAAGGTTTGTGGGTCTCAGGCTGGTTGTTGTTGTCACCTCACGCTACTATAGGGGTCGGAAAATACCAATAGCAATGCCCTATGGTTCCTATATCGTTATGCGAAAAAAACCCAAGACCCTATTCGAATTGTTAAGGCCCCTATGTTCGCCTCCTGCTAGTGACTTCACAATGCATGCTTTCATGCACCCACAACAGCGATCAGCGAGCTGCATGAACTTCAGCATGCATGACTGCTTTTAGACCACTTCGTAGCCCAGAAGAGTCCTTGCTCCCTCTGGAATTCGCAAAACTAGGACCAAGAGTAGGCCTATATCCCTTTGTTCAAGGGTTGCGCACCAAAATGGCACCCTTTGTATTCCAAGGTTTCTCCTTGGGTCTAGGAAAGCTTTATGCCGGCTGTGAGGTTACTTCTTGGGCCTGTCATGCGCGGCCGGCAGCTTGCTTGAGAATTTAAAGACACCCCCCCCCCCCCCTTCTCATGAAAAAGTTTGCTTGAAAACCTTCGGGGTTACCTCCCCAAATAAGAATTCTCTATATTGCCCTGGCTTGTAAGGAAGAAATCAATCTTTGTGGGGTGGTTCTTAAGCAAAAAGTAGCTTCTTCGCCACGTACTCAAAGAACCGAAAAGCCGTGTCTTGTTGCGGTGGCCATCTTCTGGGGTAACCTTCACGACCCGCCAGCCCCTGATCTTGTGATTGCTAGGCCGTTTGTGTGTTCAGGTTGGTTGAATTCAGAATTTCCGCTTCTTCTTCATGCGATCGGAGCGTGAAAACCTCGAGATGTTAAAGAAGTAAAGCAAAGCGGGCTGTCGTTGCGAGCCCTATTTCGGCCAAGACGAAGCATACTCTTTACTGTTGACTCCTCTCGTTGTGAGGTTGCCCGGGAGCCCCAAACCCTGAACCAAAAATCCTAAACCCTAAACGGCCCTAAACCTTGAACCCCAAAATGCTAAACCCCTAAGCCCTGAACCTCAAAACCCTAAAAACCGTAAACCCTAAGGGCCCTAAACCCTAAACACTACCTGGACCCCCAAAGTATGTAAAAAAAAACAGCCGAAAACCCTGAAAAGGGCTATTATTTTACACATGTTGGGGGTTGAGGTATGGCCTATAGTTCTCATGATATCCATCCTAAAAAACCTAAACCCTAAGGGCCCTAAACCCTAAACACTATGGCCTACAGTTCTTATGATATCTATCCATCCTCAAGTGGAGAGAGCCCGGATTCCCGAGTTGCTTCAAGGACTCGCCTCGTGGTGACGCAGCCACTTGGTGGGATGCTGCAAGCTTTGCGCTTGGGGTTTAGGGTTTAGGGTTTAGGGTTTAGGGTTTTAGGGTTTTAGGGGTTTTGGGTTTTAGGGGTTTTGGGTTTTAGGGGTTTAGGGTTTCGGGTTTAGGGTTTTAGGGGTGCCAGCTTTAAGCACTTGGGGTGAGGACTTCGGAGTCGAAACAATACTTGGAGGTTCATGGGTTTAGGGTCTAAGGTTTAGGGTTTAGGGTTTAGGGTTATATAAGTTATCGGTATGGCGACTCTACTTCTAAGCCTGTTATGGGTACATATACGCCCCCTCCAAGCAAACCCTAAACCCTAAACCCTAAACCCCGAACCCTGAACCCTGAACCCTGAACGTTGAACCCTGAACCCTGAACCCTAAACCCTAAACCCTAAACCCTACCAAAAACTACCCATGACCCTCCCAAGCAAGACCCAACATCGCAAGGCCGGCTCGGGCACGTCTGCAACACTTCGACCGCATCATCCTTTTCGCAGCTAGGTCACGTTTAGCAAACCCCTGTTTAGGGTTTAGGGTTTAGGGTTGTGCTTAACATCCACCACCCCCACGCCCCCCCCCCCCCCCCGAATGAAAATGTTCTTCCTTATGAGGGCAATACAGGGATTGTTGTTGTTGTTGTTGTTGTTTTTTTTTTGTTAATGTATTTTAGGGGGTTTAAGCAAGCCGATGTTCTGTGATGGGCTTGGGGTGGAGAGGGTTTAGAGAGATGAGGGTTTAGGGTCATCCCGGATGTCAAGAAATTCTAGACTTTGTGCCCGAAGATGCAGCACTTGCCTCCTGTGTTCATAATCCTGGCTGTATGAGTTCCAACGGTCGGATAGTCGCACCATCAAACGGAAGCCGCGATTGCTGTTGCATAGCCCTTGCCATAAGGCTCAGTACCTTGCTTCAAAGCCAGGCAGAGCCAAGCCAGGTCGCACCAAAATGCCAAACCACACCCAGAAAAAATGGCCTAGCGAGCCGGGCGGAGCCAAGCCAAGCCGCACCAAGGAGAACAAAAAGCCCTGCCTTGAAGGGAATTCTCATGAACTACCAATTGGGGGATTGGGGGGGGAAAGGGGCTCTCTCTATGCATGCAGTATAAAGTATATACATTGAAATAGAGATCCCTATACTGCCCTCAGCCCGAAGACCTGAGATGGAACAACTGGGGTTCGACAACTTGTACACGTAGTCCTGCAAGTCTAGGGTTTAGGGTTTAGGTTTTATAGGGTCTAGGGTTTAGGGCATAGCAGGAGTTCGGGTTTACGGCTAAAAGGGTTTATGGTGTAGGGCACAGGGAGGCCGTGCGCAAAGAGAACCCACACCCAGATGTTTCAGCATACAGAAGTACAACAGGAGAAGGCAAAGATGGTAAGAACCCTAAACCCTAGACCCCCTAAACCCCCTCATCCCCCTAAACCCCCCAAACCCCCTAAACCCCCCTAAACCCCCTAAACCCCCTAAACCCCCTACCTTTTCAGCTCAAGCACTCAAGCCAAACTTTCGAGGAAGACGGCTGCGTGGTCGAGGCTGGTGCCCCCTCAGAGGTGATGGTGGCCTGGCTTGCATGTAAACCCACCCTAAACCCTGAACCCTAAACCCTAAACCCTAAACCGTCCCTGCTGCATGTACTACTTGGCAGCTCAGTGGTACCCTTTTGCCCCCTTTTTGTTTGGTTCTAGGTTGCAATTAAACCCAAGAAGAGTACCCTTGTTCCAATATGGTTACTGGGCTACCAAACCTGATAGATGAGTCTTTCGAGGCGGGCGGTGTAGCAAGGTTTGTGTCCGGCAACCTTCGGTTTTGGGCGGATACCACAACAACTCTGCTGTCGGCTGCCGGATACGAAAGTTCCCCCTAAACCCTAAACCCCAAACCCTAAACCCTATAGGTAGACTTCTGGCCAGCTTGGCAGCATGCAATATAGAGGTCCCTGATACTCAGGATGCACCTTTAACCCCGAAGCCCTTGGTTTAGGGTGTTGGGTTTAGGGTTCAAAAGGGTTTAGGGTTTAGGGTAACACGAAGCCTGTCCACGGGTTCGGGGAGTCGTTGAAACGCGTGGTGATAGGCTGGATTGAGGGTTGAGGGTTTAGCGTTAAAGGTTTCGAGTCTTAACGCCCTACATCCCAAACTCCAGTGATCCTGTTAATCCTAAGCCTAAGCCCTCAACCCTAAACCCTTGCGGGTGGCAAAAACAAAACTAAACCCGAATCCCTAAACCCGAAACCCTAAACCCGAACCCGAAACCCCAAACCCTGTAAACCCTAAACCCTATAAACCCTAGACCCTGTAAACCCTAAACCCCAAACCCGAAACCCTAAACCCTGGCACAAGGAGACGGAGGCCTTCAAGCGCATAGAGCAGCAGCCAATCGATGATGAATTGGATGGGGAACAGGCCCTCGGCACCGAGTAAGTACGATCCCCTAGAAGGGTCCATGTGCCTGTGTGGGATAGGGTTTAGGGTTTAGGGTTTAGGGCTAGTCCTCAGGCCCAGTTGCAAAAAGGGTTTAGGGTTTAGGGTTTGGGTTTAGGGTTTGGGTTTAGGGTTTAGGGTTTAGGGTTTAGGGTTTAGGGTTTAGGGTTTAGGGTTTGGGGTGTAGTAGATATTAGGGCCCTAAAGCTGCTGTATGGGGAAGCCTTTCAAGGCCCAAGTATATGCCACATAGGTGCATGGACCCTTGGGGAATCAAGTAGTTTATCCGAAACGATAGTTCCAATCAAGGTTAAGGGTTTATGGTTTAGGAGGGGAACTAGGGTTTAGGGCTTAGGGTTTAGGACGGGGGACCTTGGTAGCTACCGTCTTCGGAATCCAAGGGGTGACGGATGTAGCATTTGGCTCAGGGGTTGAAGCTTCGGTGTGTCGGGTTTAGCTAGGTCTTAGGGTTTGGGGTTTAGGGTTTGGGGTTAATTTAGGGTGAGAGGGTTCAGGGGAGCACTAGCATCTTGGTACCAGTCAGTCGGGTCTAACCAGGCGAGGACACATGCAAGCATGATGCAGAAGGAGGGCCGAGCATCCCAGCAACCTTGAGACAGGCGAGTGCGCCCGTAGCCGATGCAGCCCAGAGCGTGCTGCTCGCCCAGCAGGCCAACGACGAGGGAGGTGCGCTTTGCCAACATACCCAACACGGCGCTTCCTCCAACTTTCTGTACGAGTTCTGACTAAAGAATTAGGCGCCTCGTAATGTACTTTTGTTAGACCACCCTTTGAGGGATTACATGGGAGATCCATCAAGTCTTGTGGCACAGGTCATTGCGATTGCAGGCATCTTTCTGCAGTTTATTGTTGGCAAAGGGCACCAAATTGGCATGAGTTGACACGCTGATATCATAGCAAGGTCCATCTAGTCTCTGAGGACTAGGCTCATTGCGCATTAGAGTGTCCAGAGCCTGAGACGAGCGTTCTAGGCTCTTGCGATGGTTTTTAGCAGCTCTGATCGCCGTCGCCGTCCTTCCTTCAACCCCTGACAGCCCACAGGTCGTTTCAATCTTCGTGTAGTGCTTTCAGAATTCTCAGAGTCCCTTGACTGTCGCTTCAACAAAATCGGTCCAAGCCTGTTAATTTGGCTGTTCTTGCGTGAACCCTCAGTGTCGCGTCAGCCATGCGGGTGACAAAATGAGACACAACTTAGAGGACGGCCCATTTAGAGGCACCCAAACCCCCAAAGTATGAAAAGGAGTGGTCCCTTTTTGGGTGTCCAGCCTAAACCCTAAACCCGAAACCCTAAACCTCGGACTCGAAGCAAAGGGCACTTCTGCAAAATGGGTTAGGTAGGCTCTTGAGGTTGAAACTGGCTTCGCGTCCACACTCCCAGCAAATCGGGCGTCCCGAAATGTTACCCTGCAGTATGGCTGGTCTATGCTGGTTTAGGGGTTTAGGGTTTAGTGTTTAGGGTTTAGGGCTATGCTGGTCTGCTTGGCGCGGCAAAAAAGTAAGCGAAAACCAACCGAAGCCCTTGCCGGCCTGGTGCGAGTGTGAGAGTCGAAACCCTAAACCCTAAACCCGAAACGGTCGGCTATGAGCAAACGGCCAGTTGGGAGGTATGCTACTTCGTGAAGAGGAGGTCCATGAGAACATCACCTGGGATTCGATCTCGTGGTGGCTGCAAGCCGCAGGTCTCTTGAGGGTTTAGGGTTTAGGGTTTAGGGCTTAGGGTTTAGGGTTTCGGGTGTAGGGTTTGTTCATTTGGTACAACTTCAAACATGGATCAGACAGTTCGGGATGACTATGGATTGCTTCTTCCCGTTTGTCGGCTTGAAAAGGTCGAGTATGCTCGTGGGTTTGCGGGTGTAGTGGACGTATGAAATCCGCCACGTTTCAGGGCCTGCTGACATGCAGAGTCTGAGCTTAAACCCTAAACCCTAAACCCTAACCCCTAAGCCCTAGACCCTAAACCCTAAACCCTCGTGGCGATGTAAGGCTCCATGATGATTGAGAAAAAATGGGCTCCGGTTTGCTTGTGAGGTCCCGAAACACCCGAAGACCGGCTTCCTTATTCGACTTTTGCTCACCGACAGTCTGCGTACGTTTAGGGTTTAGGGTTTAGGGTTGAGGGTTGAGGGTTTAGGGTTTAGGGTGTAGGGTGTAGGGCTGGGGGCTGGGGGCTGTGCGAATGGAGAGGCTCCCTAAGGCCAAAACCCTAAACCACCCCAACCAAAGAAAAAAAGCGCACACACGAGCAAGAACTCGAAACCCTGCCGCTGCCCCTGGAGCCCCTAGTGATACTGATTCAAGGCTGTGCAAGAGGAGCGGGGAGTTAAATTTGGGGTTTCCCTCAGTCCGGCTGCAAAAACGGGTTTTGGGTTTAGGGTGGAGCCTACACGGCTTCTTGCGGTCCTTACTTCGGGCAGGATGGGTTCTTACACCCCCTATAAGGCCCCGTATGACCTACCCAAAGAGCCCAATACCCCCGAATTAAGGAATTTTCCTGAAATCATCAAGGGGGCCCTAACTGAGCATTTCGATGCACGACTTAGGCTTCAGAGCTTTTGGTTGCCTTGCTCCCACGCATTTTGATATTTTGGGGTATACCTACTATAAAAAATCAATAATCCCCATATTACCCTTAATAAGGAAGAGTCGTTTAGTTTTTTGGGGGGTTCTTCAGCAATTTGTAGATACTCGCCTATCCTGGAAGAGGCATTCCTTGAGCATCTTTCTTTCCCAGGTCCGCTTAACCTTTTTCTTCTTGTTGGAGCCGTGGCGTTGCGGGCCGTCATGGCAGCTTGTCCCAGCCAAGGTACATGAGTAGTTCTCGAGATTCGTTGTTGAAACCCTAAACCCTAACCCCTAAACCGTGTCTTTATGGGTGCCGTGTCCTGGACACTCGATTCCCCCTAAAAGCCCTAGAAAGCAGGCTTGCCACACCCATTCTTCATTCAAAGGCCCTGGTCCAAGAACAAAACCCTGCACTCTGAACCCTGAGAACCCTAAACCCTAAACCCTAAACCCTAAAACCCTAAACCCTAAACCCTAAACCCTAAACCCTAAACCCTAAACCCTAAACCCTAAACCCTAAACCCTAAACCCTTACCATGCCCGCGTTTGAACCTTTTGAACCTTTCGATGGTTTAGGGCGGTCGCCCACCCCACAAGCCTCATAAGCCGGAAGGCTCTTCATGTCCCAATGGCCCTGCAGGCCAAGCCCACTAGAAGGAACCAGTCTGAACTACATTGATTAGGATTTAGGGTCCGAAAAGGAGCGAATGAGGGTTTGGGATAAGATGAGCAGAGGCTGCCTACAGCCAGGTACTCGCGCATTACTAGGAATGCCTCGTTGAAGATCAATAATTGCAATGATCTATCCCCATCACGATGCATTTTAAAAAGATTACCCGGCCATTTCAGGCAAGATTGTAAACTCGTTGAGCGCATCAGTGTAGCGCACGTGCAGCCCAGGACGTCTAAGGGCATCACAGACCTGTTATTGCCTCAAACTTCCTTGCGTTAGGCACACAAAGTCCCTCTAAGAAGTTGCCCATGTAACCGTGGTTACATGTAACTATTTAGCATGCAGCAGTTGAGGTCTTCACCTACATTACTGTGAAGCTTGAGCTTTAGCTTTAGGAGTGTGTGCCTTGCGCTACCATCTTAAACAGCCAAAACAGCACCTTCAGCGTAAACCCTATAGACCCTAGACCCTAAAAACCCTCTAAACCCTACAAGCCCTCTAAACCCTGAACCCGAAAAAACCCTGAACAAAAAACCCTGTAAACCATGAGTCCGCAACCTCATAAAGCAGAGCCTCTGACTTGCCAGGTAGGCCCTGGGGGATGTTTTCATTTTCCCGATTATACGTAGGAGTATTTTCAAAGGCTTTTGCGGGCCATCCTAGCTTAGTATAGTTGCCCTAAACCCTAAACCCTAAACCCTAAACCCCAAACCCTAAACCCTAAACCCTAAACCCTAAACCCTAAACCCTAAACCCTAAACCCTAAACCCTAAACCCTAAACCCTAAACCCTAAACCCTAAACCCTAAACCCTAAACCCTAACCCTAAACCTAAACCCTAAACCCTAAACCCTAAACCCTAGCTTCTCTTCCCAAGGAACTCAAAGAGAGCCTGGTCTTGGCCGTGTGGATTGATACCAAGGCTCGGTCGAGAGGGACTTCGGGTGGTTTAGGGTTTAGGGTTTAGGGCTTAGGGTTTTGGGTTTAAGGTTAGGGTTTAGGGTTTAGGGTTTAGGGTTTAGGGTTTAGGGTTTAGGGTTTAGGGTTTAGGGTTGTCGCGAGACTTGCTTTGGCGACGGGAGGTCTTATGCGATCGTGCGCTTTCGCAAGCTTGCGTTTAAGGAACGTGCAAGAATTCATACATCGTGAACCCATGGCTTTTGTGCGGCGGTAAGGGCATAGGATAGTGTAGTGGCAGTGAGTGGCATACGATGGCATGACAAATCAAGCGTCAAGCGTCTGCATCCCTCGCCCATTTTATGTCTTGGCATTGTTTAGCGGTGTCCCTGTCTCGTCTCAAAGGGGAAGACGTGGTCTCTGTCGTTATCAGTCCCTCTCCCTTTCCGTGTCCATCTCCTTCTCAGCTGGAAGGTAACTTGAAGAAGATGACGTTTAGCATGCTCCCTCTCTCCGTCCTGCCTCCCCGGGTTAAACCCTAAATGAAGCAGGGTTTATATTACTGTTTTGGTGAGTGTATATAAGGTTCCTTTTTAAAACTGGTGAGTGTATATACCTGGTGTCCTTTTGGGGGTACAAGAAATATATACCCTACTTCATATCAAGGCAATGAAACAAACTTCCCCCCTTTATCGATTCTTGGCACCCCGCACGGCACCAGAAGCTGGACTCAGAAACGACAATCCTCCCTCTGATGCAGAATCCTTTTTTGAAATCTATTTTCGTCTTCCCAGATGAACTAGGACCCAGATTTTGGGGAGTTTAGGTTCTCTTGCAAGGCCCCTTCAAAGCAAGAGGGGCAGCCTCTGTTTTTCTAGGTTACTCTTGGGTCTGGTGAAGCGGGTACTGGAGTCTTTTCTCGGAGGACGTGAATCACCCTGGACCCTAAACCCTAAACCGCAGTCTTTTGTGGAAGGTGGTGAATCCGGAGGTGCAGGATTTCGTCTTCATGACGCTGGGACCGTAGGTTGATAGGGCTGATGGCGCTAGAAGACGGTTTTCGGGTGTCAGCTTCTGGGCCTTTTGGGGAGGATTTCATGGCCCGATGCTGTCAGGTTTCACAATTGCAGGACACGGCAGAACAAAGGCAGCAGGGGCATGGATCGAGTCTACGAACCACGTGTTCAGTGCCGCTGGTTGAAATCAGGAAGCCGGCTCGGGAATTGCACCCTTTAGGCCAACATCTTGCAGCGCTAGGATCCCTGGTGATACCCTTGTTCCCTCGACTGTTGATGGGTTCGCCTACTACCCCCCTCTATGCTACCCCCCGAACCTGGGTCGGAGTAGGGAAGTTCCCCTCTAAAGCCGCATTGAGCAACACCAGCCTTCCCCAACACCCAGCCTCCCGAATCTCATCTCCCCAAACCCTAAACCCAAAACCCTAACCCCTGCGTGTGAGCCCAGAAAGCGCTTGGTCATCGCTGTGGCAGCCTGCTGTGTGCCTTGATGGAACTTGCCACATGCAGGGCTACAGGGAGGGGCCCCCAAGCTATAAGCAGAGTTAACAGTGGCCGAAATTGGTTTATGAGTAGGTTAGCTTATGCTGCAAGTCCTTTTTGTTCCCAGTACATTGCAACCCCAGGCACATTGTGTGAAAGGCAGGGCTCATGTATAGAAAATGATGAAGATATGCATGGTGGTTCAGTGTGTGTGCGGCCAAGAATGATTCGACGAACCACAACAAAGTTTGACGAGCCATGAGCCTTGTTTGCGGAAAGCTCGAGAACCACTACCCAGGGCAACCTTCTGAACCTCTTTGACCATGAGGCTTTCCGAAGTTGTAGTACACACAACCTCAGACACTAGGACCAGTAGGCCATTATTCCCTTGTTGTAGGGTGGCGGTTCCCTTATCAGCCCCTTTACGGCACCCCCTTTTTCTCCAGGTTGCTCTTGGCCCTAAACTCAGACACTAACCTAGCCACGCCCCTGGGGACATTTCATGTTTCCGCTGATTGGGTTTAAGAGGATCATATTCAGAACCCTAAACCCCAAACCCCAAACCCCAAACCCTAAACCCTAAACCCTAAACGATTATTTTTCAGAGGCTGTTAAGGGCCGTCCTTGTAACGCAGCAGTGTCGACTCGAGGAGGCTAGTGCAAGACCCTCAGCTCCGTAAACCGGCCGAGCTCAGACGCCAGCCCCACCTTACAAGTCTCCGGCTCATGTGCGCGTATCTAGCCATGTTCTTACGTAAGCTATGTATGCATGTACATACACATATACATGTATATATATATATATGTGTGTGTACCTGTATATAGTATGTATGTATGTATGTATGTATGTATGTATGTATGTATGTATGTACGTACAATTATTTATTTGTATTCATTTTTTTATTTAAGGTTTAGGGTTTAGGGTTTAGGGTTTAGGGTTTAGGGTTTAGGGTTTAGGGTTTAGGGTTTAGGGTTTAGGGTTTAGGGTTTAGGGTTTAGGGTTTAGGGTTTAGGGTTAGGGTGCGTATGTATGTATGTCAATACACATGCATGGCTCACCACAGGGTCAGGCTCAACTCCCATCGACCCCGTGTCGAACCTGAGGTTTCGGTCGGCCCTGTCGGCCCTCAGCTTCCCTGAACCACCCTCAGACCCAAACGGCTCCAAACGACCCCCCTAAACGACCGCAAACGACCCCAAACGACCCCAAGCGACCCTAAACGCCCCTAAACGACCCTAAACGACCCTAAGCGACCCTAAACCCTAAACCCTAAGCCCTAAGCCCCTGAGCCCAGCTTGCGTTTTTTCCGGTGAGGTCTGCATCATGATAACCTCCCTTGCCACAGTGAATGTTGGCCTTACCTCGGCGAGGACAGCCCACATTAAGCGAAGGGAGCCCCTGGCAGATTCAGAGGACTGTCCAGCAGACTGTCCAGAGGACTGTCCGTAGCCCTAAACTCTTATACAACAATTCGGGCCTTCAGCGACTTAGAAAATCTTAACGCCCTAAAGCCTCAAGGCACCCAAATCAAGCAGGCATTCGGGTTGAGGCTTTCAGGCCTACAGAAATCGCATTCCCTACAGAAATCCCCTTCCCTTCAATCCTCGACTTAAATGCCGACGGCAGCGTGAAGGAAGCTCCACGAAAGCTGCATCACCAGCCTCCTCCGCGCCCCAATCGACAGGCCCTCTGCCCACCGCTGGGTACACTTTAGGGTTGAGGGGTTCAGGGTGTAGGGTTTAGGGTTTAGGGTTTAAGGTTTCGGGTTAAGGCAATTTCTGGTGCTAAAGCCATGGAAAGGCAATAGCTAGAGTTTCTCTCACCTTAAAAAAACCCCAAAAACCCCCTAAGCCCTTAACCCCTTCAACCCTAATCCCTGAAGAAGCCAACGCTAGGGGGAGGGGCCCTTACTGCGGGATGAAGCGCCTAGTGGCCCTGTTCGGGCTTCGGATTTATAGGGTTCAGCGGGTTAGGGGTTAAGGGTTTAGGGGTTGCTAGAGGATGGGAATCCAGTCAGTAGCACTGGGAGCCTGTGCTTGGGCAGTTTCTGGCAGCACCCACGGGAGTCCGGATGCAAAAAGGGTTTAGGGGTTAGGGTTTGGGAGTTTAGGGGTTACGGTTTGGGGGTTTAGGGGTTTAGGGTATACAAGCCTGGATGCAGAAAGGTGTATGCGATCGCG